CTGCGGCTCGAGATTGTAATTCCCATACAACACGGCCGCTCATGTTGTAAACTATACTTACACTAGCAAATGCTTGATAAAGATTACCATAATGATCAATACTAACCGACTAAAGGTTTCTTGCAAAAGAACTGGTGTGTTTCAGTACATTTTTTGTCAGCATACGTTCCAAACTTTGAAGTGAAATCACAAGCGACACAATTCTGATTCTTTCCTTGTGGCTCTCCAGATTTCCAATTCAAGTGGCTCACGGGGTTACCATCCACATAACTGTACATGCCTTCTCTCAGACGATCGTTGAGGCCTGAAAATAGTCATATATTAGTAGTCTCTTCCACTATCGACTCTATTTCGGGAGATTCGTTAATAAAAGGTTGGCAGAAAAGATAGGGAGTTTATAAAGAAAAGCACTATACAGTTGACTCTATCTGAACGACCACTCTCGTAAGCGACCATACCCTGTATGCGAACAGCTATATATCATGGCTTACCTATCCAAGTAACCTTGTTGGCAGCCAGTGCCTTTAGGTCAGCCTCTGCAGCAGCAGTAGGGACATCAGCGACAATGGCTGATTCTTTAAAGCACTCGACTACGGCACCCATCCAATTTTTCTTGGCGGTATGTAGTTTATAGCAATCTCCTTGATGTTTCTTATAACCCTTAGGACATTCAGCTAAGAGATAATAAAGTATCATTAGTATTAAGCATCTAGAATAGCTTTTGAAAGTACAACTGTGTAGCTTTTTTACAACACCCACTCCCTACCTCCTGGCATAGCAGCGAAAGGATCTGAAAGAAAAATAAAAACAGTATGTTAGTGAATTGAATTAAAACCTTACAGCAAACGAACTGCTCCTTAGWTGACTAAAATCATGTTTATACAATTTGCATACTAATAGCCATTCAGTGTATAAAGTAAACCTTCACCACACTACCGGGAACCCTGTTTGCCCTGGTTTTTAACTAGAAGAATAGCGTAGATAATTGCCTTCGTCCGTTGCTGTTATGTKAAGTGAAAGATATCGGGGAATCTGTCATTTAAACCTCCTCACTCTCAAATGTGACTATCACTACACCATGAAAAATACACATACATACCAGTATATGGTAGAACATTTTCAACCAGGTCTTTTCCTGTAATATGTGGAGAAAACATGCAAGCAGCCCAAACAGTTCCATCAGCACCTCTGCCAACACCACAGCCCACGTGTGTTGTTTTACGGTGAATCATGATAACAAAGTCCTGATTATCCTTGTTTACTTTCTTGTCTGCCCAGTTTAGATTCATTTCTCTGGCTGCCATTTTTGCAACAATATCTCTAATAGCGTCGTTCTGCTGTGCTTTCGCATAACCAACCGTGTGATTRTGTGTAGTAGTGTTATCGTAAAGAACCTTGTTAGCCTTGACTACCTTGTTGGTCAATTTTTGAGCGGCAAATTGTAAACCCTTGTCCGTCAATAATGGACTTGCACCGTGTAGCAGACGAATGGCGTTAATATACTCACATATCTGCGTTAACAAGGTAGCTGCAAACAAATGCATATTTTACAGTTAAAAAAATCAGGCATTCTGAGGTCTATAATCATCTTGATGTTTGGTCACAATCCTTCCCCACTAGCCGTAGTGCTTGTGGTTCAGGGCCGGGTTGTTCAAAGACCGATAAGCAAGTATTCCAGGATTTACCTTAAAGGCTTTTGTAAGTGTTAACTCAGGAAATCGCTAATGAAGCTTTGAACAACCCAGCCAAGTTTAATACTTACCAACTTGAAGAGGCTGCTTTGCCTTACGTACGGGCGAAGCATTAAGTCTAATGGGTTTAGAGTAATCTTCATTAGTTGTCTCCTCTAATAAATCTCCTTCATTTGAAAAGTCATCATTCGACTCGGACTTGTGCTTTGGTGGAATGTGAAAGTCTGGTATTGTGTTGTCATAGCTTTCGGAATCAGTTTGATCCAATTTGTTTGTATCTGAAACATTCAGAAATGGGTTTATAAATTATTAGATTTCTAGCTTTACACGCATAATTGATAATAATATGATCCGAAAATACATGTCTTATAATTGCATTAATTAATGTACCTTTTATATTATCTATATCAAAAAAGTCGTCAGACCTCTTCTTCAAATCTGCAACAAAAAATATGAAATATTATAAGTCATTCAATAAGTTATCCTTGATTATTCTTTCGATGGTTAAGAAGTGACAAGCAATGTTTTTCACTGGAAAACTTCGCGCGCTGTAAATGTTGTAAATTTGATGTAAATATGATGTAAGTGTCCAAAATTCTGTAAATTTGATGTAAATGATTTCCATTAAATTTACAGAATTTTGGACACCTACATCATATTTACATCAAATTTACAACCTTGCGATTTTTTCCAGTGTTTGAGCATCTTACTTTTTGCGTTAGCCAAAGCAGCCACAAGGATGAGAGTGATCGCAAGGATTCTCATCTCTAGTGCTGTTCCTAGACGTTTCCCTGTCTGTTTTTACGCTCCTCCCAACCTGAAGAGGAATAAGGTAATTWTTATACAGYAGTGTGCTGAAATATCCTTGAGTTTAATGAACATTACACGCCAAATATAGCACTACAATATCCAATTTCGGAGTATATCTCAGTTTAGCATCATCTTCATTTTAACTTTCGCCTTGTAGATGAAGGATTTGATTATTGAATTATTAAAACAGTCGATTTCGTTGTGACTGTAACTTCTTACCACTTAATTGGTATAAAAATCGTGTGAACYCAGAGATCGTAAGATCATTTAATGTGATCTACACCAGTTCTTAGGATTTTGTTTATAAATGGACATACCATAGTGATAACATATAATCGACAGTGGTTATTTACAAAACAATGATTTCAATGTTAGTGTCTGCACTTCTTTGTCTAAGTATGGGAACCCATTCCCTATAAATCGTTGACATTTTTGGACCGTTTTATGTCTTTAAAGTAGAGAATATCAAATCAGTGGAATCAGTGGAAAGATTATTAGCAAAAAAGGGAAATCAGTTGTTTTTAGTATCGACAGGTTGTTTTGAGCAGGGCAGTCAAATGATGCCATAAGAAACTTCAATGTAAATAAACTGTGTCATTTGTCCAWTTTTTACAATCGCAGGGAAATATTCCATCGAGTGCTAGATCGCTTGATTGTAATTTTATATTTCTGTTTTCTACCGTTCCCACCCAGCGCATGACATAAATGAAGCTCTTCCATTATTCATCGATTATTACAGCAATAATATGTTTGTTATRATTAACCTTTTTCAATAATTTGTCATTTGATCTCATGAAATCATCGACTACAATATCAAATGTTCGCACAGGATATTGCAAGTAACCTTTGATCTAATTCCAAGATTATAAAGGATTTCGTATATTATTCTAATGTGAATTTTTTGGAAAAACCTTCATTTGAAAATAGCAGAAAGTCTGCGCGCTCGAAGTACCTGTACTTATAAGATCAGTTTCAAATGGTTATATGCAGACTWATATAGTGGTGAAAAACCCTGACATATATTGGTTGCCAATGATTATATATCATAAAGCTAATGTCAGTTATAATTATGGAATGTTTAGTGATAAAGATAGTTAAAGACAGTATACTGCATRGTCATAAATGACAAGTCATTGTTACAGCGTCATAAGCAAATTAATCTTAGGATAACTGTTCTTTAAATCCATGAGGCAATTATTTCCTGAGCAAAAAATATTCTAAGTCCTTATTCTAGATGTTGCTGACAAGCATAAACTCTTTTTTCTCTGACGTAGAACCGTTYCTTCATCAAAAATCTCAGTTTTATGCTGCCATAAAACATCAGAATTATTCTTTCTTTTCTTTTGATCAATTTTGTTACAAATTACTTACCTATGGCCAAGGTGTAAGCAAGTTATCAGAAAGTTCCCTACCCCTCTATCAGTAGAGCTCCCAAACTATTTGCCCGAGCACTGAACTGCGAATGTTTAGTGGGTAAMAATGATCACATCAGATTTAGCATATTTCCAAGGGTATGTCATGCTTTGTTTACCATAAATGACAAACCAAAGACCTAGGTTTGCTTGTAGTTTGGTTATCTCATACTATGGTGATAACATAAACATATTTGCTTTCTTAAACAAAACCTTTTTAGATTAAATTATTCGATCTTGTCTCTTGCTCTCTATATATTTGTATTTGGGCATAGAACGTTTTTCTGGAAATCATAAATTTTGAACCATCATTTTTGATACCTATATTCCCTTAAATGTCTTTACTTCTTAAGGTTGAAATGAATTGTTTTGATAACTTTTAGTTCAATGTGTCAATAATTCTTGTTTTCCACAAGTTACAAATCTCGTTATATCGTTWATGCACATATATCACTTTGTATAATGCATGGTTTTCCTGTGCAAAAACATTCTCACATCACTTTTTATTACTCAAGGACTCTTTCTGTGCTATGTTTTATGTTTTTTCTGATTTCAAGAAATATTATCATTGTACTKCCAGTACATCGTTGGTGGTTTGGTTGTCAGCAACAGGTTGTTTTACTAATCTCTGTTATATATTTAGATTCTAATATAATATGCCGTCCTTTTGTATAATTAGAAACAAATTATCGAACACAAATTCAGCAAGGTTATTCGTCAAGAAGAGTACAAGTGTGTTGCTATCTCTTGTCTCGTGAGTTAACCCTGATCATTAATCCTCTTAGAATTGGAATTATCAAAGTTCTTTAGCGTTTGTATTTTTTAATAAACATTGTTTATTGAGTTTACAAAAAACACCGAACGATGCATCATCACAAATTACAGGTCTCTGGTTAAGTGCCCGTGATATTGAAGTGACCGTTATATCGAGGTGTGAATACAAATTGGGATGTCAGTCGCCCCTTTTTCAGTACAGTCACATGCCATCATCTTCAACGTGATGTTATGCACCGTATTTCATTGACATCCTGAACCATTACATACATAAAGAAATAAGAGCAATATAGATCAAACCAATCATTTTTATTGAAAAATGTACCATTAATTCATAGGAATATACTTGTCACATTTCTGTTAGGTATTAAATTCTAATCGTGACGTCCTGTTATTATTGTAATAATTTACACACATACATCAAAGTTAGGAAACGGACATTCACACTATAACCCTCATGGTTTTATTGTGCCACGCTCTATACCCCCTTTTATAATGAAGGTTATTGTCAAGTGTGGGGCATGGCTACCCAGTTGCMCTAACTAGAGGCTCATGTATCTTCTGTCACAGGCATCTATGATCTATAATCTACGATCTTTTGAAAGTGATATAACGTTTTTCATTTTGGTGTAGATGTCTATCAATAATTGAATTTACACTAKATGTGATATCTAACAAAGAAATTATGCCTGCATATGTTTAAAAATCCGCATATTTATTTCTAATAGGATACAAATATCAACGAATAAATCAAAGTGTATATATTATAGATTATTTATGTACAGATATTTCAAAAAGAGTTGATTAGTGCATTTCATTACACATCAGGCATTGTAGAAAAATTAAAAACTGGCTTTTGGTCAAACAGAATGACGCCAAAAGGAATGATTTTGATAATGTGTACGAGAAATGCTATTCTGTGCAGGTTATCAGTGGTTTTATTATTACTTTTAGCTAAATTCTAGTCTTATATTGTGCTATACAMTATTCAGTATATACTGTTCAACCTTTTTGAAATAGCTGTAAACACAAATATGGAAGATCCTTTATGTAATAAAAAAATTCATCTATATAAGAAAGTTATTTAAACTATCTATTTAATAGAAAAGGTTCCAAATTGAGAGACTCAAACATATTTCGAGAACTTAAACTAAGTTAAGACAATACTAGACTTATATTCTACTTAATCAAGAAATCTGACTGCACTTGCACTAAGACTAATTTAACATAGAATATGTTTTCTTGTTAACATATGCCTAACAAAAGCGTTTGAAAAGTAACATTTACTCCTAGCCTTTCTTTGTTGCTTTTGGTTTTGGGACTTTGTTGCGTTTCTTCTTTAACATTCCCTTCTTTCCTATACGGCAGCAGTAGATCGGGCAATAGCTTGGACACAGTCCTTGAGGTTTCAAACACGGTATTGCACAGCTTTTAGGGTTGGTATACGTAGAGAATGGATTTCTGTGGAAGGTTGCTTGGTGAGGTACTCCCATTGGAGGATGCATCCCCATTGGCATTGGTTGGGCTTGGTGAATAGGCATACCATACGKTGTATGGATTGGCGCATGTGGTTTCGGCATTTGTCTACGTCGAGGTGGTTTGAATGGATACTTAAGAACGATGTTTGGCAGATTTACTACGTATGGTTTAGGTGGGGGAGGTGTTATTGGTCGTAGTCCAGCGAAAGGATGTCTAAAACCTTGATTTGGATTTATTGGAATTTGGCCCAGGTGACTTTTCAGTAGTGGATGACCAAATGGCAATGGTAGACTTGTGGAAACCATTTGTGGCTTGCCTATCGGAGGGCAGACGGTAAAGAGATTTGGAACACAAGGGTTCATACCACTTGGAGCCATCGGATGGAATGGGCTTAATTTGGGTTGTTTCTTGTTCTTAGAATCTTTGTTTTTGGAATTTTTCTTTTGATTTTTTGATCCTTTTTTATTGAAAGGCATCGGCAATCCCATATGACTCATCATCGGTATTGGAGGCTGTAAATGCATTGGATGTTGAAATGGCAWTGGTGGTCGCATTGGCATTGGCATAGGTGGTCGACAAGGATTCATTGTTTTCGGGCCACATGGCACTCCACCAATCATCGGTGGCATTGGTGCTTGCATTGGTGGCATTGGAGGTGGCATTGCCATTGGTGGTCTCATCAGCATTGGACGCCGCATTGGCATTGGAAAGGGCATTTGAGGTCGCATTAGCATTGGTGGCCTGCAAGGGTTCATTGGCGGAGGACCACATTGTGTTCCCATTGACATTGGATTTGGCATTCCCATAGGTTGTTGGAATGGGATTGGTCCAGGAACATACGGCTTAAAAGTTTTTCCACCTTTCTTACCCTTCTTAGGGGGTATACAATTATTCATTGGTGTTGGAATGCAAGGCTGCCCCATCATCGACATCATTGGGTTTGGCATTGGCAATGGTGCTCTCATTTGCATGGGAGGCCTCATTGGCATAGGAATAGCACCTAGAGGTCTCATGGGCATTGGCATCGGAGGTCTTAGCATTGGGGCTGCACAGGGTTTCAATGGCGACGGGATACATGGAGCTGGCATCGGCAAGGGCATTGGAGGTCTTATTGGCATTGGAGGTCTTATTGGCATTGGAGGTCTCATTGGCATTGGAGGTCTCATTGGCATTTGAGGTCCCATTGGCATTGGAGGTCTCATTGGCATTGGAGGTCTCATTGGCATTTGAGGTCCCATTGGCATTGGAGGTCTCATTGGCATTGGAGGTCTCATTGGCATTTGAGGTCCCAT